CCCTCCCCTCCCCTCCCCTCCCCTCCCCTCCTCTTTTCGAGTTTTGCCAGTATACAAATAAATACATTTAGAGGAATGTGGCTTCTGTTGCCGTACATGGCAGTGCCCGCTGTGCATAGCACAGGGTTTTCCTGCCCTGTGTCCTCCATAGTATCTTGCAGTTGCTTGGTGTCTCTGTAGGAAGTAGATAGGATAAAAAGAGTTGAATAGTTGAACTATATATTGGCTCTATATATTTTTGAATAAAACTTTGACTTAACTAACTGGAAATTGTATCCAGCAAAGAAAATACTTGTTATAAAGTAAGAATTCATTATAAAGTAGTTTCACTTCTTAAAAAAATATTAGGATAAGCATTTGAGTTTCAGAAAGAAATAACCGTGTTAGAGGGCGTTATCATTACTCTCACCTCAGCCCCCAGAGTTTAGTCTGATGTCGCCCCTGTGTTTCTTTCGTAGCACTACCTTCAGGTGCTGGTGCTCGGGCTCTACAGTGCTGTTCCGAATACTGCGGCGCTGGCTTACTTGGTAGTGGGGAGACTCTGGCGATAGGATGTATAGAATTTCTTTAGACCTCTTAACACTAACTTATGTTGAGAAAAATCACTTCGTTCTGGACTTTTTCTTTCAAACCCAAGTCTGAATGAAAGGATTTTCCTGCCTCTCCAGGCTGTTGTCACAGCAGTCGTCTACTATGTGTGTGGTAGAGTTTTTGTTCAGAGGAGACTGCTTCGTGCCTGTGTTCAGAGACAGTACCGTTGTCTGTTTTCTTATCAGTCCTTTCAGCTCCATGGACTATGTCCTACAATGCAAAGGCACCTGCTTCTGCCCCATGACTGTATAGTATGTTTGACTGCAAGGTTTCACTAGCCCAGAGCTGTGGAAGAACGTAGGCCCTGTAGCTCTCTTGCTGCCTTAGCATTGTATACGTATTTCAGCCGTCAGTACCTTGACACTGAATCTTAATTGGATACTTATAGGAATTATAGTAGTGTTAATGATTATAGAAGAAAAAACAAAAACTTCAAGCCAGTTATGGGCGTGCATACCTATAAGCCTAGCAGTATCCTAGTTACTTCCTTATTGCCGTGATAAAATGCCTCGATGAAAACAACTTGAAGGGTCTACAGTCTGCCCTGGTGAGGAGCACATGGCAGCATCCGGATAGCATGATCAGCAGCCTGACTGGTCCTATTGCATCTGCGCTTAGAAAACAAAGCATGAACAGAGAGTGGGGCTGGGTTAGGCAGCCTCGAGGTTTCCGCAGCGACCAGTTTCCTCCAGTGAGAGTCCACTTTCCTAAAGGTTCAGCAACATTGCCAAACAGCACTGTCAGCCAGCTGGTGACCAAATGTCCAAACACCTGGGACATTTCTCATTCAAACCACAACAGAGGCTGACACAGTTTTGGGTCAGCTTGTGCTACATATTAAGATCTGCTCAGAAACAAACACAAAATAGGGGAGAACAAGGGGCTTCTTTGTTTCATAATTCTGGCAAGGTACTTTTGAGATGCAAAGGACTTAGTTTAAATGTATAGTCTTGTTCTGTCATGCACCAAAATTTATGTACAGATAAAGGAAAAGTATTTAGAGAGAGCTGGGTGGTGGTGCACACCTTTAATCCCAGCACGTAAGAGGTCAAGATCTACTCAGAGGTAGATCTCTGAGTTCGAGGCTAGCCTAGTCTACAGATCAAATTCCAGGACAGTCAGGGATACACTGAGAAACCCTGTCTCGGAAAAACTTAAAAAAAAAAAAAAAAGATTTAGCGAAGCAGAGAAAAACAAGGAAGAATACTGGTAACAAAAGGAACATGAGAGATACTTATACATGCTAACTACATACCAAGCCTGAAGGAAGGAGTCTAACGTTGTTGCTTAAATGAACTTTGGAAAATGAAACCATGCTTCCACCTGAGGACTATTCAGGTAGGAGGAGCTCAGAAGTGTGTGAGTCACGAAAGAGACAAGTGACTGAGATGGCAGCTTTGAAGTCACTGGATAAAACATTCTTAGTGACAAAGTGACTTGAATACAACACTGATGTTTTCAAGAAGAGAGAAGCTATTGCATGTCAGATGGCCTGTGCCCCTTATTTATTTTCTGTAGTCATTGGTAGCACTTTAATGGAAAAATTCTTTATATTTTGTTAATAAGCTACCAGAGAGTTTTAAGGTTGAGATGTGGCAACTTTTCTATTTAGCCCCAGCTTCAGATTTGGAGAAATTACCATGGAAGCAAAGTGCAGGATGGTTGTGAGGGAACTGTCCTAAAACACAACATAATCATGGAGGTACTACATCGCCCAGTGCAGTCTAGACGTCTGACCTCCTAGCCCAGATTGAAAGGCCATAAAGAGAAAGCTGAAGAATACTGAGAGGTAGGAAGATATCTCAGGATCTATCATAGACTAGCTTTTACTGAGAATAAACTTGGATAGATTCTGATTGGCTCTAGAATGAATTGAGGTTTGGGTAGAAGATGGGTTTCACTTAAGTGTGTCCTCTGAGGTGCTGACAAGTTTGACCACGTCTTTAGTTTGGCGACTAGAGGAATCACTGCTCGGCAGTGTCACACAGGAATGGGACACAGGAGTGATCTGTGTGGTAGGGAGGTATCACCACCATGTGTGGCAAAGTCATTGGGCAGAAGTATGTCAGACAAAGACTTACAGCCATTGTTAAGAGAAGCCAACCAGCATTGTGGTGTGTACTTACACTCTCAGTTTCAGGAGACTGAAGCAGGAGTGTTGTTTGTTTGAGGCCATCCTAGCTACATAATTAGACTGTATCAAAAATAAAACAAAAATTGATCTTTGCGGGGCTGGAGAGATGGCTCAGAGGTTAAGAGCACTGGCTGTTTTTCCAAAGGTTCTGAGTTCAATTCCTAGCAACCACATGGTGGCTCACAACCATCTATAATGAGATCTGGTGCCCTCTTCGGGCCTGTAGGCACACATGCAGGCAGAACACTGTATATATAATAAATAAATAAATCTTTAAAAAAAAACCTGATCTTTGCTAAGAACAGTTACTTTTTTATAAGGTTGCAAATAGTGAAGAAAATAATCTATTAAAGATTCAAGTATTTGAACTAAGCATGTAACTTAGTATTAGTACTTCCTCTAGTGTGTATAAGTCCAAAAAATACATTAGTTCAAGAAGTTTTTCCAGCACAGTGGCTCATGCCTATAATTCCAGCACCTGGAAGCCTGAGGCAGGGGGATTGCCACAAATCGGAGGTCAGCCTGGGCTACAGATTGAGTTCCAGGCTAGTCTGAGCTACAGACTATGACCACATCTCAGAGCAAAACAGAACAGAAAGAGAATGAGCAAAGGGGAAAACAAAACAAAACAACAACAACAACAACAACAACAAAAACCTGGTATAAGGAAGAAAAAAAGCAGAAAATCAAAGCAGAATTTACCTATCAAAGAAATGGGTGAAATCAGACCATTTTAATATATATCACCCAAGAATCTCTAGTAAACTCAATATAAGTAGCAGTTTACTAAAGAAGTCATCAATTCAATATTTTTGTCAGCTTTTTAAAGAAAGGTTTATAATAGTTTGTGTATATATTCGTGCAAGTGTGTGCTGCTGCCTAGAGGCCAAAAGAGGGAGTTGAGGGTCTCCAGAGGTGTGAGCTGCCTGTGTGCAGCTGGGAAATGAACTTGAGTCCTCTAAAATATCAGCGAGAGCTCTTAACCCTGAGCCATTCCTCCTGCCCTGGTTTTGTCTGTTTTAGTAAATCCCTGAGAAAAGTGTACCCTGATAGCTGACCTACTATGGCTGTGTGCTAGTCTTTGAGCCTGGAGACAGAGCATGCAGGGTACCACACTTATCTGAGCATGGTGATAGAGGCTGTCACTTCTCTAGGACTTGCCCCCAGAGTTTTAATGATGCAACTTTCATATCCTTAGCTGTGTTTTGGAAGCTGGTGAGGCATCCAGGATCACACAGGCTTTGCTCCTGAACTTGTAAAGCATTTTAAAACACTTTTAAACAAGAGGTATATTCACATTATATGATGTCTTCAAAGTGTAGCTGATCCAAAAAGTGCCTAATGTATTTCATTTAGTTGAGTTGATTTTTAAATTACAATTTCCTTGCTGAATTTCTCTTGTGTTGCTGATTCTCTATTTGTTTTAAATTTTACTTACTTGATTTTGTATATGCACATGTGAGTGCAAGTGCACACATGCACAAATACACATGTGAAGATCAGAAGACAATTCTCTGGAATTGTTTCTCTCCTGCTACCTTGTAGAATCTGGGCATTGAACTTGAATGAGGTCTTTAGGTTTGCAAGTGTGTCTACCTCTGAGCCAGCTCACCAGCCCATGACACTCTCACTGTTTTATATTGCTATCTTTGTCTCCTATATCCTAAATTGATTTCCTTCCTTCCTTCATCTATTTGTTTGTTTCCTCTTGAAATTATTGATCATTTTTACAAGTAGACCTTTGATGTCCAGTATTTCAATCATTTCTTTATCTTCAGGATTATTGAGGAGTTAGCAGGGTTTTGTAGGCATTGTATTTTTCTGCTTTTCTATATTTCTTGTGTTTCTGTTCTGCAGTTTGCAAATACATTGCCTTGGTTCAGGGATTCTTCTTTCTTATTCTGTTGCTGTTATTAAGACAGGGTCTCACTGTGTAGCTCTGGCTGTCCTGAACTTATTATGTAGACCAAGATGGCCTTGAACTCACAGATCCATTTGCCTCTGCCTCCTGCATGCTGGGAGTTAGGGCTTGTGTCTTAACTTCAACATACCTGGCTTCGTTCAGGGTTCTTCATCTTGAGTTATTAATAGAAAAGAGATTACAAGTCAAATTACAGTAACGTGGCATATGTATATTTCATCTAAGAAGGGAACATACAAACAAGAGCACACCTGAGGAAGTCCTAATCACCCTTCCTCTTTCCAGGTCCCTACATGACTTTATACCCACATACAACATTTAGTTTGTAGTGCCTAGGATTGAAATAGCCCCACTATGGCGGCAAATCCCTCATGGAAGTCTTTGGACTTGAGTACCTGAGGTCTTCTTGTTCCTGGGTCACTTTTAAAATATTGGTTTGTTTAATGGAACTAATACTTTGCTTCAGATGAAAGTTTAAAAAGTAGAAGTGGAGGAAATAGGTCTTGTAGTGTACAGGTGGTTGAGCAAGTTGAGAACGGGGAAGGTGGGGGCAGCAGAAGAGAACTGAACACAGACAGACTCTGGAGCCCTTCCTTCCCATTCCGCCGGAGTAGAAGCCAGTTGTTGTTTCAGTGCCTTTTCATAAAGGATTGGGGGTGTTTGCAGCCTCTGCCACTGACTTAAAATGAAGATGAACTCAAAGATGTAAAAAAATGTTTTCCAGGTGGGACGTTGAGAATATATGCAGACAGTTTAAAACCCAATATTCCATACAAGACAATCCTGCTGTCTACTACAGATTCTGCAGACTTTGCTGTAGCAGAGTCTTTGGAGAAGTATGGTCTGGAAAAAGAGAATCCCAAGGACTACTGCATTGCCCGGGTATGAACTGTGATTATTCATGCTATGATTTGCATTTAAAGGAAATTTTTAAAAAATTTTTAGTGTGTGTGTGTTCACTCAGATACATGGCCCCCCCTACACTTATATACACATACAGGAATAATAAATGTAATAAAAAGTAATATTTTTTTTATAAAAAAAAGATTAATTAAATAAAACATAGCCCAAAATTCTACAAAAGGATAAGCTCATCATTAACGTTTTGATATTCTTACAATTTTTATTTTGTATATATATTGTACGAGTCAGAGTTTAGAGGAGTATAACCAATTTATTTATGTGTAATTATAATATATAAATAAAATAGTCTCACAGTGCTTGCTGCATGTTGGAGATTCAGAGAACCTGGTGGCTGTTCAGTCCAAGATGTGGGGGATCTGTATATGTAAAGGGTCCAGTTTGAAGTGCAGAAGATCTGACAGCTCCCTGGAGAGTCACTGCTCTGATCCTCTGTTGAAAGACTTGAGGAAGCTGGGACGGCATGTCCACAGGCCATGGCTGCAGTGATGGAAGCATGTGTCTACAAAGAGTGAGGCTCGCGTGTGGTGTTTGCCTCTTCCTCTTCTCTTTGGTGCTATCTGAGCCCCTAGCCTGTTGGCACCACATTCAGGGTTGATCTTCCCTTCAGTCGGTAGGTCAGCCCGCGGTGAAAATGCACTTACAGCATACTCGGTGGTGTGCTTTACTAATCTTTCAATCCAGTGTAGTTGACATTCAGGATCAGCCATCAGAGGTAACATAATTGTATTTACATTAAAATCTGATTTAATAATCACCTGGGACTTCTCAGAGGTACTTTACCTATCTATGACTCTAGTTATCAAGGAATATAGTAATTGTTTATATCCTAGAATTGATTTTGTAACATTAAATAAAACACAGCAGACTTTCTATTTAGCCATAAACTAGTTAGAAATCGTTAGCCTCTGAGTTATTTTTAACTGTCTACTTATTTACTGCAGTATTTGTCTAGTTAAACTGATAGTAGTTTGTGTTTTGCTTTGGAAGGAAGGGTTAATTTTGGCTTGTGGTTTGAGGGTGCAGTTCATTGTGGTAGGAATGCATGGCAGCCAGAATATGAGGCAGCTGCTCATATTTTATCCACAGTCAAGAAACCAAGATAGCTCTGTGTTCTATTACAGCAAGTGATTTAAAAAGTAGGTGTGTGTGTGTGTGTGTGTGTGTGTGTGTGTGTGTGTGTGTGTGTG